GCTGATTGTTGTTCGGATTGGCCTCTGACCATCAGCTGTTTCAAGTTGCAGGGATTGACATAGTCCATTGCCGCCTCTGTGTGGCCCCAGTGCATCCCATTTTTGGCCTCCATGCACCCCGTTTTTGGCCTGTTCCGATCCCCGCCACCCAAAAATGGGGTGCACGGAGGCCAAAAATGGGGCGTGCAGAGGCTGAAAACAGGATTCAGAGGCAGCAATAGGCCATGGCAATCCCTGCAGCCTGAAACAGTTGACGGTTGGAGGCTGATCCAACCGACAATCGGCTACTTGGCTAATCAGGCTGTGCTGAAACTGAAACTATAACAGGCTGTTTGCTGTTTGCTGCAAGGAGGGAAGTTGCTGGGAGGCAGAGTCAGTTTTTTTTCTTGTTTGATTACTGCGCATGCATGCGCGAAGTGCAGGATTGGTGCACGCACCCGCGAATTGCCTGCATGCCCACAAAGCAAGCTCTAAAGCAACCTCCGAACCGGTAGGATTTTTTTTTTTTTTGAAACACGCTACTGATCAATACACAACATTTTTTCAGGCACAGTGACTTGCTTCCATTTCAATTGCCGCTTCCTTCCTGTCTTCTATTCCAGTCAGCTGCACACTCTTCCTCTAACAGCTTCTCTGAAAAGGTTGGGATTCTCCACTCTTGCATTAAATCCGATTTTATACATTTTTTGACTTGTCATAGTGAAATAATCTAAAATAGCAGGAAAACCAATGATGGACTTTAGATGAAAGCTTAACGGGGGTGGGGGGTAGAGATGAAGTCTTTCTATAAAGAATCCTTGAACTGCTTTGTCAATGTCGCTTTTGTGCCATTCTCAAACCCTCTTGTTTGATTTCTCGTTACGCCAACTTTTTAAAGAAGGGGCATTTGCGATTCTCAAAACAAAGAAGATGTTTATATAGCTTCAGAAGTGCAATATTTATCTTTCAGAGTTAAATTATAGACACTGTCAATATTATTATTTTTGGGTATGTTGAGTTTAATTAAAGGAAGGACCAGGGGTGACATCAGGGGTGGGATTCTACCAGTTCACACCTATTTGCTAGAACCGGTTGTTAACATTCTAAGCAGTTCTGAGAACCAGTTGTTAGAAGAAATTACTGGCCTAATCCTGTAAGGAAGGCAGGAAGGAAACATTCTGGTGTTGCTTACAGAAACTGTCTCTCCGTTAACCCTTGTTACATTCTTGGCAGGACTAGACTTCCTGTCTCAGGAACTTCTCTGGAGCTTTTTTCCCTCCTTTGCTGGTACTTTGCTTGTGTGGAGTGACCATTCAAAGTTACAATGTCACTGAAAAAAGTGACTTATGACCTTTTGCAGCATCCCCACAGTCATGAGAGGCCAGGCGAGGAGATGGTGCCTCGATGTGAGTGATATTGAGTTGGCCATGCCCAGCCAATAGCAGGACCACCAAACCATGTCCACCCAGTCACATGACCACCAAGCCATGCCCACCAACTAAGCCATGCCCACAGAACCGGTTGTTAAAAAAATTGAATCTCACCCCTGGGTGACATGATATCAGTCTTCCAAAATCTCACAAAGAAGAATGTGTCAAATTATTCTCCAAAGCACCTGAGGGCAGGACAAGAAGCAATGGATGGAAACTAATCAAGGAGAGAAGCAACCTAGAACTAAGGAGAAATTCCCTGACAGAACAATCAACCAGTGGAACGACTTGCCTCTAGAAGTTGTGGGTGCTCCAATACTGGAGGTTTTTCAGAAGAGATTGGACGACCATTTGTCTGAAATGGCATAGGGCAGTGATGGCTAACCTTTTCCACATTGTGTGCCAAAAGTGCGTGTGTGTATGTGCACGCATGTGTGCCTGCACCCATGATGCAATGTGCGCAAAACTCCCCCCACCCCCTGCGTAAGCACGCATGACGCACCCCGCACCACACGCCTCTGTGGATACATGAAGCAGTATGGAAAATGATAAATAAAGTATTTTTACATTTTGCAGAAGTTCCCAATTCCCCTTAGCTTTGCTTAATACAATATTATGTAAAACCTCAAGGTTACTGAACCAAGGAACTAACTATAGTCCAGTAAACAAGGGTGAATATGGAAAATAACAGATGGTGTAAGATAAAATGAGTAATTAAATGTACTTCTCCTTTTCGCTATATATGTTATTCTCCTTTTTTGGTATAGTTTAATAAAAGTAACGCCCCGGGCTAGGCTGAGGCTAGGAAATGTATAAAAGTGATGCCTCAGGAAGAATTTGCCATGCTAATGCTCTGAACCTTGTGCACAAATAAATACCTGTATTCTCCAACCTTTCGTGGTCTTGTGTCCTGATTTGTAACCAAGATTTGCTGCTACATACACACACAACCCCCACATGCCACATGCCTCTGGACATGTGCACATGTCTCCCATGAGAATGTCTCCTTCCACACATGTGCAGCAGATACCTGACAATCAGCTGGCTGGTGGGGGGGCACATGTGCAGTAGGACTCTTCCAGGCAACCTCTTGCATGCCGGTAGAAATGGCTCTGCATGCCTCTTCTGGCATGCATGCCATAGGTTCACCATCACAGGTATAGGGTGTGCTGCGTAAGCAGAGGGTTGGACTAGAAGATCTCCAAGGTCCCTTCCAACTTTGTTATTCTATTCTATTCTATTCTATTCTATTCTATTCTATTCTATTCTA